AATTCCTACCTTTCCATTAAATACCCATGAAGATATTAAATACCCATGAAGTTCTGCAAATTAAGAAACTAAGCATTGAAGCTTGCTAGCAAAGTCCAGGGAGAATTAATTTTATTAGCGGGACTGGGTTAAAAGCATAGTCTTGAACATCGTGCTGTTTATCCTACTTTGTGAACCCAAATCAGGCCAGATATCCAAAGGGAGTAGGAAATGACTTGGACCCACGCTCACAGGAACTGAAAAATAAGCAACCATCTCATTGAGGTTAACTATAATCTGACACCTCTGGAGCTGGAGTTCTCAGCCCCCTACTAACCTGTATTAGCATCTGCATTTCCAGATCTTTGCAGAGACTAAAATGTCCTAAATATAGTAAGGCAAGAAGCAAAGAAGGATTGGAAGAGGAATGTGCTATCCTAGGATTCTGAGTCCCTGTGGCAAAGTGTGGCGAAGGAAGAGGGATGGGAATAGGCTGTGCTTGGAAATGTGGTCTCCAGGATGCCATGAGGTAAACAGCTAATGGCATATGCTCTTCTGGCTTATTGAGAGAACCCTGCCCAGTCAGTTTAGCCTCAGACCAACCAACTCCAATGAGAAGGATGTGTACTAGCAAGCTAGGTCCCAAAATCGGGCTTGGGGTGCATCAGTTCATATTTGAAGGTCAAGTTGCAGCCAAATGCCAGTCCTGGCAGATCTCTTTCCCTCTTAGTAAGGATGAGTTTTAAAGGGTGGAACAGAGAAAACACTGAAAAGGCACAGGAAGATAAAACATTGCTGTGAAGATTTAGAAGCAACACATGGTTCTGAAAATGACTTTTTCTAACGAGCAAATAGAGTTAAGACATGTGCTTAGTCTTCCAAAAGAAAGCCAGAAAGATATGACCTCTACAGAGAGTGAATAAGCTAAAGCGAGGCAAAAAATGCCGAAGTTGGCTGAGATGAGGACAAATGAAAGAAGCCTAAAACAGATAAAATTGTGTAGCGCTTTTGAACTCATTAATGTTCATTTACTAATATTTATTGAACACGTTCTATGTGCCTGCTATTCTGGGCGCTAATGATAAAATCGTGAACATTGCATACTAAGTACAAAAATTTAGTAGAAAACATGCTAAGCAATTATGAAAGGTCCAACCTAAAAGTTGTAAGGTTTGTGGCAGAAAATAATAGAAAAATAGGGGTAGAAACAGCATTTAAGGTTGCTGTAAGAAGACTTTTCTAATTTCATCAATTTCCAGGTATTATTGATTAAAAAAATACACATATACATACTCTCCTCTATAGATATATTCCGAATAATTTAAAATTTTTATTTCAAGGAAAAGGAAAAGTCCTAACAGTATTTAGGCAGAAAAAAGAAGTGATCTATATTGGAGCAAAATTCAAATAGGCCTCATACTTCTTTTCTATTACAAATGCCAGAGACTGTCAGGTCATTGTTCCTCATTTGTTGCCTTATGTGATAGTATTATAATTTTTTTATGTTAGAAAATGGCAGCCCTTCTTTTTAGACCCTTAATTTTCTTCTTGGAAAAATATCTGAGTATATGGATTTTGTTACAAGAAGATACTTTATTCCTTCCAGCATTAAAGTTGCTTTAATAAGCATACAGACTCTGGTGTCTGTGACATGAATGGCATTTTCCAGGGCTTTATGATACACTGAAGCTTCTAGTGACTCTGAAGAATAAAAGATTGCCTTCCCAAGAATTCTGTGCCTATCAAGTTGCCACGTATATGTGAAGATGTTCAAAAATGCAAAGACTTGGAAAACAGAACACTTTGTCAGAAAACCGTTCAAAGATGCACTCTGGCTAAGTAAAACACGAATGCAAATCAGTCACTCAAATATGTATAAACTATACAAGTAAAGGACTGGTGTTAAACAGTGAAGCGAATTGAATATGTAAAAAAAAATAAAATATTATAGCTCATGTATCTATAATTACAAATTAAATTCAACAGTCAAAGCCTGCTCTCAAAAATAAATATATTTAATAAAATGGTATAAGAAGAATCAGTGTCTATAAACTTAGATTAATTTAAACAGTTCAAGGTCACAATACTTTAAAAACTGGTTCTGGCATAAGAACAGATCAATAGCCTATACTTGACTAGGCTAGAGTCCACTAGAAAGTTCTGAAAGCACATCTAGTATCTATATGTAAGAATGCTAAGATGTAACAAAGAACTAAAAGTTTGTGGTAAAGGGCATTGGGAAAATTGGTTTAGTGTTTAGAAATTATATTAAATCTGGATTCCCTCACCATGTCATATATTAAAATAAATTACAAGTGAATAAATACTTAAGGAAAGAAATTAAATTATTAAAATATCAAGATACATAAATGCAGATGAATATTAGCCATGCTCAGCCTAAGTAAGGACTTTGAGCACAAAAGTAATAAACATAATTACAAAGGCCTATGTCAGTAAACTTGACTTTGTAATTTATATTCAACAACAACAAAACTCTAAATAGTTAGTGATCACAATAAACTGGGGAAATGATTTGTAACAGAATTTGGCAACAAGTTGTCATTCATGAATCAGCAAGAAAATATTAACCCTACTGGACCTGATTTCACTTACCAATTGATAGAAGAAAACATCTCATTGAATGCCAGAGAGGTTTTTTAAAATGATTTTATTTTGTTTTGGCACTGGATATAGAGTGAATATTCTGATACACTGCTTAAGGAAACTGTGACATGATGTTTTTTTGGATGTCAGATTGTTAGTATATATTGGGAGCCTTTAACATTCATACCCATTGAACCAATTATATCACTTATAGAATTTACTCTATAGAAATAAAGATACAGATATTGAAGTATGTTCATTAACAGACTTGTTAAACAGCCATCCATTAAAAATGGTAGTTTTAAAAATTAATAACAGCTTTAAATGTTGCTTATATAATACCAAGTTAAATAAAAACAACATACAATAAGATGTCCAATATTACTACCATTTGAGAAAGATTTACCAGAAGAAAGTATACCAAAATATTAACAAGCGTTAATTTTTAAAATGTCTTCTCTATACCCTATTTATATCCTTTATATCCTTTTTGTATGTTCTGTAATGAGTTTATATTATTTTTATAAGTAGTTTGAATACATGTGAAATGTTAAATTCTTTCCACCATCTTCTCTTAATTGCATGTGGTTTTCACTAAACAGTGAATTGGTTTAATATAGAAAACTTTATTTGTTCCACTTCGTTCTTTAAGGAAAAATATAAACCATATTGGGGGAGGCAGAGCAAGTTTTGAGGAGAGAAGATTTTCATTGTATTCCTGGAAGGATAAATAAAAGAATAAACATTTTATTTGACCCTTGTTAGCCATCTGCTTTATACAGTAAATTGTATTTATAAGATGCCAGAGAAAAATAACTAATAAATTTATTCAAGGTGTTATAAATGTGCCAGTTACAAATTTAAATTTGTAGTCGTATCAGTGGACAGTTTTGAACTAAGATCTTTTATAAAATCAAACTTTTAACACTTAGGGTGAAATGAAAGTAATATATGTGGGAGTCTTTCAGTTAGAGTAGAATATAAGATGGAACACTACCTGGAACAATATTCATTTGAGATGTGCGCAGTTTTTCTCTATTCCTGGAAGCTACCCCTTTCTTTGTGCTGTGAGAAAAGCAAGAGGAGGTTCCCGATAGGGTCTGTTCTTTCAGTTATGCTCTAGGTAGATTGCTAGCTAGCACCATTTGAAAAGGAGCAGGGTAAGAACATGATATCCATGTATTATGGGAGAGTAGCATACATAAAAGAGTCACCTTTGGACTACGTGGGATGATATTCTAGCTGAGAATCTCCTACATTACTTAAAATTGGCAGTTCTTCCTTCCCAGTAATACCTGGAAAAAGAAGTTTCTTTAAGTCAGAAGATCCCTTAATGTACAAATAAGTTGTACCCTATATGTACATGTAAGTCGTCTGTACCCTACAATCCTATTCCTTCATTAAAAACAAAAACACAATACCTTTAAGAAGTATCTTTTCCCTCCATAATTTATAGCACTTGCCTGGTATTGTGTCCAATTTTAAAGTCTTTGTTTTGATGTAAGGACAATGTTTCATTAAACATTACAAGATCTGATCTGAAAGTGTCCCCACTTAGAGTAAAAAAGAACAGGCCTGAGTCATTCAGAAGACTTTCATATAAATGTTGGCTTTGAAGAATTTATATTAATTATTTTGCCAAAAGCTTTTTTATTCCTTTTATAGACCAGAATTGGATACAAGTTATTTAGTTCAGTGGTACTTAGTTCTTGGCATTTCCATTTCCTTTCTAGCCCTTATTTTCTTTCCTGCCAACCAAAAACAACAAAAAAGATTTTCATATTTTGTTTTAAAGCAGAATTTTGTTATCTCTTCTATTCAGAAGAGATAAATAAGGGCAGGATGAAGGTGATGATTGGTATTTGGTGATGGAATGTTTATCCCACTTTGGATTTGCAATGACCATCAATAGGGATGAGCTGATGAAAACTATATATGTTTGTTAGGAAAAGGTAAGTAAGGGGACGTGACCTGGAGGAAGCATTCTGCTACGAGCAACTACTGTGTATTGGTGAGGCCCTTTCTTGGTCTTAGAAGGCCAATTAAAATGTGTCTCTGGATTTCAGAGGGCAATACAGAAGACAGTCTTTGTCACTCTTCCTGGCACTTTTGAGTATCCTCAAGACATTGACACTTCTGATTCATGATCTATATGCATATTCTGTCACCATATCTGCTCTTTGCTCCTGCTCCGCACCCTCTCCCTTTCTCTTTTTCCTTCCTTGACAATGTTTGTGGGGTGGTAAGAAAGAATTTTGGAACCAAGAAATGAGGGGTGGCGGGGGAGAGGAAGATGATCTATTTTTGACACTCAGGCTTCTTGCTACTCTGTCCCAGAATATACCCCCAGGCAATTGGAATCCCCAGTCGGAAAAACACTGGAGAATGACTTTCCTTCTGCTTCTTTTCCTTTGCAGGAAACACATGAAATTGTGGCAATCAAGAAATTCAAGGACAGTGAAGGTAGATATATATATATATATGTATATGTATATATGTATTTTTCCTTCTGTATTACGTTTTTATAAATAGAGTGGAAGAAGTGGTACCTAGCTGGTTACACACTGTCTATTCCTGATATTTTGAAGTCACAATCTCAGAAAGTGAATATAGCTTATTTATTATCATGCTTTGCTTTCAAACATTTAGTTCCTTCTATGTGAATCTTTTCAAATCTCATATTAGAAAATTCATCTTTTTATTTTAAGGTATAGTCAGCTTTGGAAATCTTGCTCCAAAGGCTGGTTAGAAAGCATGTTGTTTATGCCGTTTCTAAATATTATTAAAATTAAAAAACGGACTTGAAGTAAATACTTTTGTGGGTCCACACAAATAGCAAGTACTGTGTGAAAGATTTCAGTATTGGTTACTATGATCTCCAGCTCCTAGTCAGAGTTAGAAATACAAGGATAAGTGACAGACAATATTGAGGGATTGATTTTATATTTAGAATAATGCAGTGGAAGAATAAAAGGTTTTTAAGAAGAAATACTATGCTTAGGGGCCTTCATCACATCCAGACCATTTCAAACAGAGTTGTAAAATTACCCCATGCTGGGCAAGAAAATTTAAAATAACGCATTTCAGTAGTTCATTTGTTTTAAAATCTAGATGGTTGGCCATCCAAAGATAGCCAAATAGAGAAACTGATGACAAAAATAGATACGGCCTTTAAGATGCTCCAGACAACATTTTTTTCAGACTTTTTGAACTGAGACCCACAGTAGAAATATATGCTACATCCTAACCCAGTGTCCACACACATATGTAACACTATATGTAAATGAAGCAAAAATGTCACAAACTTCTTTATTATATGAGTGTGAAGCACTCTACTTTCTGTTCTTTCCTGTTCATAAAAATGCCTATTGTGATATCAAATAGATGGATTACACCACTAATAAGTCAAAGCCTGCTATTTGAAAAACTGTGGTCTAAAAGTAGGAAGTACCAACATAGCATCAATCTTCATATCTAATCAGAAGTATGGAAATGGCAGTCATAGCTTACCTTCTTTAGCACACATTCCCTAAGTGATGTAAGACACCAGCCTCCATATTTATGAACCGTTTCATCACCCTCACCTCAGAGACTTAGCAGACATTAAATAAAAAGGGACTTGCTCCAGGATAAATGCAGCAGTATTTGTTGTAACCCATCTCTGATGTGCTACTTATTGGAACACATGCATATCAGCTGGGAACTTTAGCAGTCATTCTATGGGTAGACTTAAAGGGAAGGTAAAAAAGAACTTTTTGCTTGTTCTAGCGGGACAAAGAAATCTTGCTTCAAATGGGATACTTGTTGTCTAGCAGGAAGCAGTAGCCCCAGGCCATCCCACTGTGAAACCATTGGAAATGAGCTCTTTGAGCAGTGACTTTGGGTCAACAGGTGGCTGAGAGACAAATGGTGATCTCCTAAAAAGAATAGTTGCAACAGTAGATCAAAGCACAACCTTTGCATGCATGTAAAGGCTTCTGGCTGTGCATTCATCTTTCAGGGCATATTGGCAAGCATCAGTTACAACCAAAAATAATAACTGTCAAATTTTGTAAAAAGTACAATCTAGGCCATGTATACTGTCATTTTTGTTTGCTTTGAGACAGGATCTCACACTGTCACTCAGGCTGGAGTGTAGTGGCGCAATCTTGGCTCACTGCAACCTCCGCTTCCCGGGCTCAAGCGATTCTACAGTGTCAGCCTCCTGAATAGCTGAGATTACAGGCATGCATCACCACACCTAGCTAACTTTTTTGTATTTTATTTGTAGAGACGGGGTTTCGCCTTGTTGCCCAGGCTGGTCTCAAACTGCTGAGCTCAAAGCGATCTGCCCACCTTGGCTTCCCAAAGTGCTGGGATTATAAGCATGAGCCACCTTTTCCGGCCCCCATTACTTTCCTTTTTAAATAAATACTATATTCTTCACAATCTCTATCCTGTGCATACCAATTATTAGCTTCAATTATATATTTTTACATGTGTTATGATACCTTTAGAGTGGAAATCTAGGGTATTCATTGAAATTCATTGAGCACTGAGCGAAGTGCTGTGAGAGTTCAGATGTGGGTACTTTCAAGAGCGTATGACCTATTAGGAGAATTAAGACCTGTATAAATAACAATAAAACACAGTAGAAAGCAGTTACTGCCTGAATGGAGATATGTAACTTGGATCATTTTGAGGTGAGAGAAACTGTTTCTAGATGTGGTGTCGGGAGTGCGTGAATAGTCTAGACATGGAAAACGTTTGATCTCCCCTTATTTTATTGAACCAACAAAACATTAATCTGCTCTGCCCTCATCTCTGCCAGACCATTATCACACACCATCCCTCAGAGGCATGCCGCCTTATCACCCACCTGACCTTGTCAATGACACCTACCTACTGCCTACACATACTTCTAGAGGGATACTTCCAAAACATTTCTATGCTAGAACCTGAAGACATATCCATTTATTCATAAACTTTTTCATTCCAGTCCAGCCCACTTTCCTACTGTTTACACTTCTCCCAGGGAGATACTAGTACTCTCTTTTCTGTGTTTACCATTTTCCTCCTGCTGGAGTAGTGTCTTGCTTAATGGAAAGAAAGGGTACATGTTTGGTGAACAACTCTTTTGGAGTGTGAAGTGTACATAGATAGTCTTATTCAGGTAAGGATGTCTATTCAATCCCTATGTAAACAATTTAATTCTCAATCAGTTTATTATCTTAAATTTTTGCCATTTATAATAAAAAATAGAGTGTTATGATAACATTGCCTTCATTGTCATGTAGCTCTCATTAATCCCCTTTATTAGTTATTCTCAAAATATTCTTTTGATATTATGGCAGTGATTATCTAGATCTAATGTTTAAAAGTCTTAGTGAAGATAATGAAATAATCCTGTAAAAATATTGTTAACTGAAATAGGATCTGCACTTGGTCTGATCCACGTTCAAGTTAATCCAGTACAGATGCTCCTTGACTTGTGATGAGGCAACATCCCAATAAACCCATCATAAGTGGAAAAACTTCTTATGTACAGAATGCTTTGGCTGGGTGTGGTGGCTCACACTTGTAATCGCAGCACTTTGGGAAGTCAAGGCAGGAGGATCGCTTGAGCCCAGGAGTTTGAGACCAGCCTGGGCAATATGGTGAGACCATGTCTCTACAAAAAAATTTTTTAAAAATTAGCCAGGCATTGTGATGCATGCCTGTAGTCCTAGCTACTCAGTAGGCTGATGTAGGAGGATTGCTTGAACCCAGAAGGTTGAGGCTACAGTGAGCTGTGATCATGCCACTACACTCCAGCCTAGGTGACAGAGTGAGACCCTGTCTCAAAAAAAGCCTTTACTATACCCAGCTTACCACACATCCTAGCTTTAGCCTAACCCCCTTTAAATGTGCTCAGAATACTTACATTAGCCTATAATTGGGCAAAATCATATAACAAAGCCTATTTTATAGTAAGGTGTTGAATATCTCGTGTAATTTATTGAATACTTTAGCGAAAGTGAAAACCAGAATGATTTTATGGGTATTCGAAGTATGGTTTCTCCTGAACGCATATGGCTTTCACACCATCATAAAGTCAAAAAATTGAAGTCAAACCACTGTAAGTTGGTGACCATCTATTCTCTCACTGATAACACGGAATATTTTGTGAGAGTACATGTTAACTTCTGGTAGCTTTAAAAGATTATGCTAATGTCCTACTTTCTTGTTAAAGTCATATGTTCACAAATTCATATGTGTAAAATGTTTGTGAAACTATATTTTGTTAGCCTACTATTTAGTTCAATAAGTCCTTATTATCCCAGGATGATAGATCACTATTTAAAATGGGAACCAAAATTTCATAGTAAATAAAAGTTTATATTGGGACTTTAAGTGGGTAAAATGAAACTAAAATTATGAAAATAAGTTTATAGTTAACACAATTTAGGTTATATTAGCAACTAATATGCTATTTCAAGAAACAATCAAGTGTTAACTTTTTTGGGAGGAGGAGCAGTTTTTGCAGTAAAATTGTAGGCTAGGCCAGTGAATAGCTTCTACAGAAAAGAGCGTCATTAAGAAATATACAGAAAGCTTTGTCAGTTTTCTTTCTTTTTTTCTTTTTTTATTCCTGTCTATGTGTTTTCTTCTTTTTTAGGGGTGTGTGTGTGTGTGTGTGTGTGTGAGAGAGAGAGAGAGAGAGAGAGAGAGAGAGAGAGAGGGAGGGACAGACAGAGAGACAGAGAGAGAGAGAGACAGAGACAGGGTCTTGCTCTGTATCCCAGGATAGAGTGCAGTAGCATGGTCATGGCTCAGTGCAGCCTTGAACTCCTGGGCTCAAGCAGTCTTCCTGCCTCAGCCTCCCAAAGGAGCTGGGACTACAGGTGCACACCATCACTCCCAGCTAATTTTTTCATTTTTTGTAGAGATGAGGCCTCGCTGTGTTGCTCAGGCTGGTCTTGAACCCCTGGGCTCAAGAGACCCTTCTGCCTCAGCCTCCCAAAGTGTTGGGATTACAGGCATGAGCCACCACGCCTTGCCTTTTCGAGGTTTTTATTCTCTAATTGTTAGCAGATATAATTCTATCAGATAATTTATCAGTGTCTTTGCCCGTGATTCTCCCTTAAAGACTTTAACACCCTGACTTGGGGATATAGACTCCTGTTAAAAGGGAAGAATGTTTGAGTGATGACAAATTTTTGTCTGAGCTTACTTCATTAGTTAAGTTTTTCTTACTTTGATGACTTCTGCTCGTTGACACTTCATCATAAATTTGGGGTCTCCAATAATGAGGTTGTTGGGTTTTTTGTTTTTTTTGTTTGTTTGTTTGTTTGTTTGTTTTTTGAGAGGGAGTCTCACTCTGTCGCCCAGGCTAGAGTGCAGTGGCACCATGTCGGCTCACTGCAACCTCCGTCTCCTGGGTTCAAGCAATTCTCCTGCATCAGCCTCCCAAGTAGCTTGGATTACAGGTGCCTCCTGCCATG